GTGGAAATCTTTTTACTAACCCTGGCTGAATGAAATAACTGAAAAAAACCCATAACATTTGCTTGTTAATATATGAACCATTTAGAGAAAGAAGGTAAGGTAAGAAGTAAAATGATATGGTTGAAATATGGTTGATGAAACAGTTGACCTGATACTTAATTAAGGTGCTTTTCAGTTTCAAATTTCACAAAAACAACACAATCTCACCTCAATATACATTAAATGACTGACCAAATTTGTTCCGTTCGGTTAGCATGAGCTGACAGTTCCTCATTCAAAATGTATTAATATGAATACTACTTTTGCATTTATACATGCATTTCTGCATGTATAAATTAATACAAAATACAAAAAGAAAAATAGATTGGAATTCCATTTTACTTTGTTTGCCCAATTAAAAGCTGTCATTTGTTGAAGATATGTTACAGCTAGTGACACTAGAGTGGCTTCCTGTTTGCACTATTTATTACTTTTGATTTGACAGATCGATAAATGATTGGTGTTAAAGTTTTAAACTAACTAGTACTCATTGAGAGCCTTCAAAGGACTTTACTCACTACTTATATATTTATCAATATATTATGCAACCCAGTCCTGTTATTTTTCTAAAAAAAAATTCGTTGTTCAACCTATAATAGTGTGGCAATGAAAACTAGTTGTGAACACAATACTGACATATATTGACTTTAAAATTGATATTACAAACTTAGGTAACAGCTTCTTATTCACACATACAGGAGTCACGGAGCACCATTATTTGGAGTTGTGTTTTGGGCCACCTGGTGAATGTAAGTCCAATATTCACTCTCCTTTAGCTCTTTTTTTTTGGTCTCTACCAAAATCTGAGGGAAATAGCTGGTTATTTAGCTGCTAAATGCTGCACTATGTTCACCAGCCAGTTGCTAACTGCGTCTGTCTGCTGTTTGGTGCTGAGAAGGTAGTGTGGGTTTTTCGAACCAACAGTAGGTTCATTGCTCAATTGAGCCTTAAATAAAACATGATTATCAAACATGAAGAAGTTTCTGCACAGTATGTAATTTTCGTCAATGTAATGCAGTCTAACTGGTCAAACCTTTTTGGTGGAATTAGTCATCTGTCTGTAGCACTCCTCCTGTCTTTTCATATTTTCAAATTCAACTCAGTCTCTCCTTGGCGAGTGACAGTTTCCCCTGTCTAAAACAAGTTTGAATAATTTCCACAACATATTTCAGTAGGGTGGAAGATTTTCTTCCCATGGGTCCCATCCAAGTCAAATACACTCATGAACTAGGAAAACTCTCACATCAAACAGCAAGATGTTGCACACCAAGGGAAATTTGGTAAACACAACACACCCTGGCTGTGAGAGTTGCACGGCTGTAGAGGCAGAATGGCCGCAGTGACTTCTGCGATTAAATCGACGTGGTGAGGTGACCTTATTTCCTAAGGGTGAATGGGCTGTCACTACCTTGAGGCTGCACAAACGTTTGATGCCTCCAGCCACACACACCCAAAACTTAACAGTCCATCCTTTAAAATGGGATGAAAAAATTGAAACATAAAAATATATGCTGTGCGACATGACAAAACAAACACGTACGAATCCGAAAAACAAAACAGAAACTGGCTTGTAATTAAACCAAAAAGACAGTTTGCCTTCATGAATTAATTGATTTTTACTTAGAAGGAGCACTTTTCCCCCCTGTACTCTAGCGTCTATTCCATGCTACTCTACTTAGCTTTATGATTTGCTGTTGTAATTGATCATGAAACGGTTGCTGGGCGTGCCCACACAGCTGTTGCGCTGTAGCACTGTCTAATTAGTAGGCTGTGACCCAGGACAGGATATGATGCGTACCTGCCTTTGGAGCTTTTGTAAACACTTGGGTGTGTTTTTCCCCTCAGTCCTTCGCTGCTTTGCCATAGGTCAAGTGAAAAACATGTCAAGGCCCTCCCCTTTAGTGCCTCAAAGTACTGTACTTTGTCTCTTTTTGTGGCAACTTCAACAAGTTATTTTTAGAAAGTTCAATGATCAAGTTGTTTGTAATTATAGGTGGATCTATATTTAGAGCGTGTGGTTTCACAGGCTGCAGTCAGATAATAGTTGAGTCATTTATCTGGTCTGATTTTTTTTTTATCTCTCTAGTTTGATTAACAAATGCATTGGCCCTGTAAGCTTACAACATGCTTGATCCTGATAACAAACTTCAGGAACAGATACCTGAAACTTCAGGGTGTTCGAGTGTATGGTTGTGTATATTTCCGCATGTGGGCTCATAAAGCAGGACATTCTTCACATCACAGTTTGGAGATGGAACGGATACACATTCAGCTTGCCCTGTCTGTTGCTGATAAAAGTTTTGAATTTCAGCACTCAAAGGATATGTATCTATCTCTTATCTGTCCTTAAGTAACATCCGGTAGAGCAGTTAAATTACTTCTGTACAATATATTTGCATGTCATACTAATAGCTACTAAATACTAAAACGCAAGACTGATAAACAAAAATGCATTTATTTCCAATGTGTGTTTTTCATTTTTCTCTTTCTCCCTTCGGTCCGTTCCAGCTCTCTCATCCTTTCAACCTTCCATCCCTCTAAGTCAGTCTGTCTTCCCTCAGCTGTTCCGTGCCCCTGCTCCACTGGGATTGATACAATATTTTCCAACCTCAATTAGCAGAGAGCCTGTTGACTAATTCCAACTGTTTTTGCACCTGAGAGGGAGTTGGGAGTTGAGACTGGAAAAACTGAGTGGGGTGGAGGTGAGGGCCGGGGCCTGGGTGTAGCAGGCAGAGCTGTCGGGGCAATATAGCTGTGTCGACAAGAGTGTAAGGGCAACACAGAGGACAGAGGAGGGATCGGCCAGACAGCTGGGCAGGACTTGTGGAAGCTCCATATCAGGATCAGGACAGTCCTGAGCTCAGCCATTGTCAATAAAGCTATGCATGACACAAAACAATGAAATAATGTTCAAATTATAATACAAGCCCAAACAGTACTGTGTCTCCAACATTGTGTACGTCTGTATTTGTTTCTAAAAAGAAATGTGTCCACTTTCCTGTGTGACACTTATGCTGATGTTAAACTCGTTAAATATGTACACTTCCTGCCACTCTAATCTATAGCATGGCCACTGTATCAGTATCAAGACACTGTCTGGGTCAAGAGGCTTTAGGTGTGATTGAAAGCCTCCCTGTGTGATGCCTGTGTAGCCTCACACAGAAACAGATTCCAGATCTGCCCCTATTGTGAGGCGCAACCACAAACTGACCACAACTTCTACATGACCACTGGTTTGGCGCTGTGCTCAGCTCAGGGTGCAGGTACACACCCTCGCTCTGGGTGAGAAAGAACCGTTCTTTCCACCAAAGGAAATGAGAGGATGATGGCTAAAGTGTATGAGGACATTACATTTAAGGGAACTGCACTTTTTCATTGAGAGCTACTGCAGCCACGGCATTAAGCATTAATTACATGAGTATGGCAGGAAAATGCCTATATTTCACAATCATGAGACATAACTTTTTGCTACTTTCCAAAGATTCTGAACACTTGTTTCAGTTCAAACTCCCTCATGTTGTCCCAAGTGGTATTGCTACTACACTTCCAGCATGACCTCTGAAGTGTCAAATTCAAGCAAAGTTTGGGAGTAATATTTTATTATGATAGCTGATATATATTACCATTAATATGGGAGAATAATGTCCCAACTTGGAAAAGCCCACAGGCCCAAATTTAACGCAGTAATAATTCATCTCAACTTGAATTTCTACCAGTGTGTGAGGTTTTAAAAGATTCTGCCAGGTGACTAATCCCGACAGGTTCACAAATGTCATCCAGGCTGCAGCTTGGAGCTTAGTGAAACAGTGGCAACAGACTGACTGGCCTATTAACTGGATGCAGCAGCCCCCCCGCCCCCCCCCAGCCCCCCCGCCCCCCCCCAGCCCCCCAGTAGCCCTATGGAAAAACTCTGACTCACCCACTTGTATAAAAAAACATTAACGACCAAATACATAAATATTACCATCAAAGGAATAAACGTCTATAAGGGCTATCCAGTCAGTCAGCCGGTGACTAATGGAGAGGGTCAGATCATGACTAGAGTCGGCTCATCTGACCTGGTCAAGCATCTGAAAGACACCCATTGATGGACCCATGCACACACTGAAGAGGCACGGCCGTTGTATGAACAGCCTCTTCTCAGGTGTCCCTGAACCACAGTTTAGGTACAGACTACAGGCTTTCCAACAGAATAACCTATGTGGGTCAATCTGGATCTGAATCCTAAATATAGCGATCACTTTGAGAAGTGTTGTCCAGTCTGAGCAGGTGCTAGGAGGCATGAAATGGGGTGCACGGGAGAGCCACAATCATAGGAGACTCTAAAGAAAGATTTACAGTAGTGAGCACAATTGTCCGGAAAATTGATGCCAAACAGTAATTTGGTCATTAAAGAAAGCCCAAATACCAATGAAACGTTTCAACTGAAGCTTTTTCCTCAGCACTTCAAATCTGACGTCGAACTGCAGTCTCATTATTTAAGACCAATCAAACTGTGAACATGAATGCATGTTTACATTTGTTGAAGGAATGTGTTTCCGTACACACCTGTTACTTAAAACTGAGACGATTTCATCACAGTTTTGAAGAGTTAACCCCCAGTGAAACTGAAGCGTTTTCTTTTCCCCAAGCCACAGTTTGCATTGCCAACTGATGCTCAATGTCTCTCCTCAAGTCAGCTTTCTTGAGCCGGCTGTCCCATGAGGAGCCTAAATCCACACGAGGGTATTCCCTTCTTACCTAGTAACGCGTCTCTCTCTGCTCTAAACACAACACAAATAGCTCAGCTGTGATAGAACCATGGGATATTCCTATGAACTGCTATAAAAGTGAACAGATAAGAAAGTCCAGCCATAAAAATAAATGTGAGAAGCTCACAGGTCATCCTGTCCTCACTGTGACACCCAACACACATTTAAGATACAGAACTTAGATGCTCTCTGGCTGTGCCAGTTACTTACTGTCTGCGTAGTTTTTCCGCCGAGTACCATCCACCTTGCCTGTTTTGTCAATGCAGAGGAAGAACTTGTTGGCAGAATAAAGTCGCCGTAGTCGGACGTCGCCCTCTAGGTGATTGTAACTGCGAGTGTGCCTTTCCAACGTCCATGAACAGTTGATGCCACTCGCCAGCACCTGAAGGGGTTCATGCCCTACCCCAGGAGGACAGGCCCCTGTGGCCGTGCCAGCGGTGACCAGGAGCAGGGTGAAGCATGCCAGGCAAAGGGAGGCTGCACTGGGCAGGGGGAGAGGTCGCCCAGCAGAGGCTGCAGTAGTGGTGGTACCAAGGGCAGGTTCAGGACAGAGATGAGCTACGGTTGGCGTCCATCTGCACATGGTGGGTCAGACTCCCAAGGTGCACCTTGTGCAAGCTGTAGGCATGCTGATGATTGGGAGATGTCCCAGTGGAGGGATGACAAGAGGGTGGGGGTCCTGAAGTGAGAAGGGAGGGAAATGGCACTCACAGCAAATCCTGGATGTCACAGATGACCAGTCTCCACTTTGGGCTGACAGCAGGCCTTCCTACAGCAACAAGCTTGTCAGAGTTTCTCCAGTTGTCATCTTCAGTCTTGTTTTTGATTCTATTTGTCCAAGTGCTGTAATTTTATGAATCCACCTTTGAAAGTTCCTCTTTAGTGTCGCTCCTTGTTTCCCTGTTTCTCCTCCTCCTTGGACTGAGGTCTTCTTTCCCGTACCACAGATAAAGTCCTGGGATGTATGAGGATGTGCATGTGTGTGTGTGAGTGTGTGTGTGTGTGTGTGTGTGTGTGAGTGAGTGTATGTGTGGGGATATGTGTGTTTTTGTGAGTTGAAGAATGTATGTGTGTGTGTGCACCTTGCGATGCTCTACTCTTTCCAGCTGAATAGAAACAAGGTGCCTGTCTGAGCTGCTGACCCGTGGCTGAGACGGAGTTGAATAAGGGTTGGTGACTGACTCTGTGAGTGTGTTTGTGTGTGTGTGTGTGTGTGTGTGTGTATGAGTGTGTGATACTGAGAGAAAGAGAGGGAGTGAGCAAGTGAGTGAGTATGGGAGGGAGAGACGGTGTGTGTTTGCGACAGAGAGAAAGAGAGGCAGTGAGAGTGTGTCTGTATGTGTCAGAGTGAGCGGCAGTCAGCGAGTGTGTCAGCTAGCACGGGGCAGTGAAGCAGTAAGTGAACAGCCTCACGCTCTGCTGTGCGCAGTCAGTCAGTCAGTCAGTCAGTTAGTCAGTCAGTCAGTCAGTCAGTCAGTCCTCTCTACTGTGGAGGCACTGGCTGAGTTGTCTTGCATTTTATCCTGGGCAGGGCCAGCATCTAGGGGGTTGAAAGGAGGAGGGGGGGGGGGGGCAGTGACGGGGAGGTGGGGCTTCCACACTCATTCATAACCATTTCAAACAAATGAGAAAGCCTGCATCAAGCACTGTCCCCTTCCTATTCTCTTTCAGAAAAGTTTGTTCTGTGAGAAACAAGTCATATGTTCTTGACCTGAGAATTTTACCATCCTCTCTCGTTCTTCTTTTCTTTTCTTTTTTTGGTTACAGACACCTGGAAAGACTTACATCTCCTTCCGATCCCATGACCTCTGCTGTCTCCCCTCGACGTGAACAGTGAAGCATTCTGTAACACGGTCAAATCAGCTCCATTACAGTCCAGTGAACCAGCTAGGAGAGCATTTTTTTTTTTGACACCTTCGCTCCCTTTTCTTCTCTCTGGCCACATGGGGCAAATTAAGGGAGCCTTTCCTCTTTTTTTCTCCTTTTTTATGGCTGCTGGTTTGAATCATCAAGCAGTTGCAAACACAGAGCAGGTTGCAGGAGTGTCGGCAGAGTTAGTCCAGATGAAGCCTTAGAGACTTTCTGATCACGTGTGTTAATATTTCAATGAAACACCCTCTCTGATCTTTGCTGTTTTATTTGGGAGAACAAGGCGGAAATGAAGAACACTTTTTTTGTGACTTCCCACACTCTTGTCTGTTTTTTACAAGCTGTGTAATGAACCTGATTAGGGCAAGGACAGGACGGGAATAAAAATCGGGAAGAACTAAAATCATAGATCAGTTTTTGTATATAATATGCAGTTTAATATGAATAAACGCTGCATCATGAACGGGATTGGCAAGGGACAGGAGTATTTTTGTGGGAGTGGGATGGGACAGAAGTGAAAATCCACTCCCGTGTCACTCTCTAGTGTGCAACCACTTAAAGATAATAGGACCAGATGGGGAATATCGTACAAACACAGTACACAAAACTACAGACCAGTTTACTTTTATAGTGCGTACAGTCCCCCCCAAAAAATCAGAAAATGTCAAACTATTCCTTAAAGTTTTTGATTTTTAAAGTGAGATGAAAATTAGCAATCACCTTATGTTCCCTGATGCAGGCACTCATGGAAAGATACAAAGATGGATACGAGAGAGATTGGAAAAGTGAGAAAAATACAGAGAGAAGATCCAGAATTTCGCAAGTGGAGCTGTCCAGTTTGTGGTGGCAATTACCTCCTTTTTAAAAGACTCCCTGGTTCAGTTATGAGTACCACCCTGAGGCTTGTCTGGTGCTGGAAGTGTGTTTGAGAAGTATGTGCTCAGAAAGGGTGACAGTCACTTCACACTCTTTAGCTTGTTAACTGCCGCCAGAGACTTGCTGTCCCCCTAGCCCCTATTTAAACCTTACATCATAAAAGAAACTACGAGAAAGAGACCAGTCACGTCTTTCTGCAAACTCCCAGCTCCAGCACCCGCCTCCCCCAAGCCATTCCTTTCTACCTGCTGGCGTGTTCTGGTCGTTGGTGCTTACCAGGCTCCTCATCAAAGCTACTTTCAGCATAGATCTATGTGGGCCCTTGGCAAAAATCACAATCTTTCACCCTCAGTTAAACCACGCTGCCATATCTGTACTTCCTCTGGCTTTATCCGCTTTCCGGTTCTTGACTCGCCTTTTCTCTCCTCCTGCCTTTAAAGCCAAATCGTTTTGCATAGGATAGTTTTTAGTCAGAACCAGCATGAGCTTTCCAACATTACTAGAACTGGTGGGAGTCAGAACGAAAAACAAAGACGAGCAAATGAGAGGGCCAGAGAGTGTTTTTTGTTAGTGTTGTATGAAGTTGTTTCCCCCATCTTCCAAAAAAAAAAGAAAAAACCAGGCAGATCATTTTCAGAACATCTGAGTGTTTGCAGGCATGGCTTTGTAATTAATTTATTGTTCTCTCTCTATCGGCACTGTAATAGGAAATAATATTTCTTAACAAAGTTTTATAAGGTGTTTGGATAATGGCTGCCTTTTCTTTATTATGGACAAAAGTGTGAAATGCTTTTCATGAAAATATGTCATTTGTACGCAAAAATTAAGACACTGGTGGAGCTGCATCATCAGGGCCAACTTTGGAACTTTTGTCAAACTAATTAGTTAGTAACTGAGACATGATTTTTACCCTAGTGAAATAATACATAAATAAAGCTCACTGTATAAATGAACCTGTTACATTACAATGTGCTTCTTTCTTCCATTCCAATTGCTGATCGAATTGAATTGAATTGCAGACAGATGATGCTTCCATCTAATCGTCCCACAGATGTCATATGTCAATTTTAAACTCTGTAATGGCCTTAACCATTTCTTTTTCTAGTATGACACTGATAATGTTCAGAGCAGAGTTGCTAACTTTTTTAAAGTCATAGATATTTTTGAAGAATTTGTCCTACTTTTTTGATCACTGTACAGTCCGGTAGAGAGATTAGTCAGACAAGTCATTCTGTTGTAGCAAATTAAAATAATTATTTTATTTAATGGGAGTTTGCTTTGTTCGAGAAAAGTGCAGTATTCTAAAATATTCACAATCATGTCAGTCAACTGCTCAAAAATTACTTTGCACACTTTTGATTTGTGCACACTATCATTAAATGTTACAATATAGAACTTGTGAACAAGATATATTAGAAGTTTTGTAATTTTCTAATGCAAATTGTATTTAAATTATGTCATTATCTACCAATGACTGTACAGTATGGTGCTCTATTTCTCTATTGTAAAATGAAATATATTTAAATTTAATTATTTTCTGTTGGAGTGGTATCTCTCTACCAAACACACACGCAAACAAACAAATACACATGCAAACAAACAAAGAGAGAGAGAGAGAAACAGAGAAAGTGGGAAACAAAAAGACTATAAGAACCTCCAGGAGGTTCCAGTTGAAATTCCCCATAATTAAAATCATACAATCATTCTCTGTACTGTATAACTTCTCAAAAATCTGAGTGGCCCCTGGGGTCAACAACAAAGCTCTGGCCTCATGTGAGTGTCAGATGTGGCAGCAGATTTCTTTGTGGTGTCTTGCAAGCAAATGTTTGGGCTCTGAGCTCAGTGCCATCGTAGACACAAGCATAATGTATTTCTTTGATAAATGTCCTAACGTGCAATCTCTTGCTGTTTTACAGTAGGCATCTTTGACGCGGAAAACTATAGTCATTTACACGGTTTCAACATCTCAACATAAACTGAGGAATTAATACGTTTACTTGTTTCCTGATACGTATGTTGGGTTTAAGTTAATTGTTCACAGTTCTCTAGCTCATTTACAATTTATAATCAAGTCAGGGTGGAACCCACTGCTTAACTTCTAGCTTAACTTTCTTAGATCAGAAGCAGACACGAGAGACCTTTCAGAAAAAAAGACTAGTGCTTGCAGCTCTAGGTAGCACATCTTTGTTTTTAACGTATTAGCATGCTAGCATTTTTCTAATTAGCACTGGACACAAACTACAGCTAAAGCTGATGGGACTGCCATTCGCTTTCCTGTGGGAACATGAATGCCTAGGTACCAAATTTCACAGCAGTACACCCAATAGTCAGCAAGATATTTCCAAACCACAAATGTCAATCTCGTGATGGCTTCAGAGGAAAAGTCAGGCAATCAACAAAGTCATTAGGGTTTATCCTCTAGATTTGAGTGTTGAGTTGAGTTGAGCCGTGTTGTGTGGGTGTGCCCTGAGTTGAGAATGCCACACTGTGAGCCTGACACCCAAGGAGGATGTTCTCAAGTGGAGGAACCTAATCTTTCCCAGCAGGAATCCAAGCAGCTCTGTAAGTGTATGAATACAGATAATATCTCTATAATGAGACTTGTTTTGTACCATCAAAGTCTTCAAAAGCGTCTGAAACCCGACCTCCTCCTAGCACTGACAATCCCTCAGTAATAGCTCCCTATTATTAATTGTTTTGCCTGCCTGCTAAGTCCTTGTCTCTCTCTTTCTCTCTCCTGCTCCTGTAGTTGTGTTTTAGCAGCTCACCCATGACCTAGTGCTTTTAAGTGAACTGACATTCTGCCAGTTTGTAACTCAGTGGAAGGTAGGTGTTTGTTTTCCTTTTCTTTTTTTAAATGAAAGTGTTTCCAGACACCCAGCTTTCTCTTTATAGTAAATGCGTGGGCAAACGAGTTCAACATTCACATAAAGAAATTATCTCACATATTATTCATGGACAGTAAATTCTTATAATTTCAGCGATTATGCAATTTATCCTTTCAGCATGTCCTACACTACCTGTGTCGTTGGGTCAGACCCAACGCAGGTGCACTTGATATCTTTCAGCTTGCTGCTGTGGTTGGCTGACAAACATCCGGACATGGTTAAAGGAACTGACCAGACCACCCCAACTCAGCCCCACTGAGGACATGTCCCTTTGCATATCCTGCTTCGTGACCATTGTCTATTGTCAGTGGCAATATGATAAGTGGGTTGTCTATCTGATGCTATGAAGAGTTCTGAGAGATCCAGCCTCTCGGTTCTTCACATGATAGCAAGCAGAGATCCAACTGACTGATAGGATTTGGTGAAAAGAAATGTGACTTGTCAGGGTGATTAAACATCTGTGCACGGCTAATCTGATATATCTGAAGCACATAACAGAGGACATGGATAGAACAGGATGGGGGTGGTGAGGATGGAAAAAGCACTTTGAAAAACCTTTACTGACTCTGCATTTCTTCACTCTCCTAAAAGGTGCAGTAGTTTTGTCTGAATGTTGAGGTTGACCTAGCATCCTTGAAGTCTGAAGTATACATCATCCTTTCAAATTATTCTATTAAGAAACACTTGTAAGCAGGAGCGTGACACATCTAAGACATTTTAAATGACTCACTAATTTAATCCATCTTAAAATGCATGTGTGGGGAAACCCAGTAAGAGCTGTGTGAGTCACAGTAGTCCAGTAAAGGCCTGTGCATAAGCCTGAACGATCATTCTGATGT